CTCGGCGAAGAAGCGCGCGCGCTGGCACAGGTACGCGTTCTCGGCCTCCACGCTGGCGAAGCTGAAGCACTTGGTGAAGCGCAGGCGCGTGGCCGGCGCGCCCTCCAGCCCCACCAGCGCCTTGGACACGTCGCGGACGCCGCAGCGCGCGTAGTCGAACTCGGCCTCCGCCACGTGCGTGTTGACGCGCTCATGGTAGACCTGCGGCGCCGGGGAGGGCGGCGGGAGTCGCCTCTGTCGGCTCACCCTCGTCCGCCCCATCGCCGCTCTTGCTGCCTGCTCAAACCCTAAGCCTGCCCTGCCTTCGAGCCCGCTTGGAGCCGGGTAGGATCTGCTTATCATCTGCTTTATGGAGCAGCGCAAGCCCTCAACGTACTCAACTAGAGAGGAAGACGGGCCGGAGCTCAGACCTGCGGGTGTATTCTAGTTTGAATTAAGCTCTGCTTCGTCACGGGGTCAGGCGCTGGCCACGAACTGCCCCTCGGGCTTGCCTAACCTTTTTGCCGTCTCCCATGTCCCCCGCTGCCCCCTCATGACCCCAAATGGCCTGCCCTTCCTGTTTACAGATGTGGTCCCTAATGGCCGGAACCGGCTTTGTCTTGGGGCTCCCTGTTCCCACCTTAGCTGTCGCCCAGCCCCCTTCCTGATTCTCACAGGCCCCAGGTTTCTGTTTACCCATCCCAAAACTGAGACGGGGGTCACCGTTATCTGAGAAAACCTCTTCCTCCAGGGCTGGAATAATGCCTAATCCTGGAGGGTCCAGTAAGTGCTAATTGGCCCCCACTCCACCTCTCCACGAGGCCTCCCATGACTCGACCTCCACCTTTTTGCCAGCAGACTCCCACCTCTGGGAGCCTTGGACTTGGCAAAGGGCCCCTGGCTTAAATCTAGCACTACCACTAAGAAGCTGCAGACCTTGGGCAAGTCATTGAGTTTAGGATTCCTTCCCTGTGAAAGAGGCCCTGGTAGCAGCCACCTCACTGAATGGGTGAGAGTATGCCGCGACACAGTGCCTGTGAGGCCATCTCCAACCATTAAGCACTAACCGGTATAGACCTTGGAGCCAGACTGCCTGGGTTCAGATCCCAGCTCCACCACATACTGTTTGACTTTGGCAAGGTACTAACCTCTCCAAGCCTCACTATCCTCATCTGTAAAATGCGGATAGTAGTTACCTACCTCATAGGGTTGTTAGGAGGGTTAAATAAATCAATGTGGTATTTGTAACGTATGTAGGGCAGAGCCTTGCTGCTAGTGTTTGCCGTTATTATTATGGTTGCTATTGCAGCTCACTGCTGCCTGTGCTCCTCCCCCTGGGAACAGTCAGTCAGGGTCCCAGCACCCCCCTCCCCTCTGGACTGGCCTGCGCTCCCCTCCAGCCCCTCACCTGGGTGGTGGTGTAGGCGTCTCCATTGCGGTATCGGGTGACCTGGCGGGTGCGGCGGACATAGTGGTAGCTGATGGCCTTCCACCAGATACAGGGCGTGGCCTGCTGCATGCGGCCCACACGCTCCCGCACGCTGCTCACATCAACACGGTGCTGCAGCTCATGGCGGGCTTGGCAATGCCAGCACTCCACCAGGTAGACGGCGTACAGCATGAGCAGGAAGGCCAGGGGGATGTAGACATAGCCGTTGGAGCAGGGGCTGTCGTGGTACATGAGGCTGTTGCCCTGGTAGGCGCTGCTGAAGGTGAGGCGGGTCACCGTGGTTACGTGGCACCAGGCCACGGCCCCCAGACAGCCGTACATGAGCAGCGAGAGCAGCAGGCACTTCCAGTGGGACTCACGGCAGAGGGACTTGGTGAAAGAGGGCTGGATGGGACGCTGCTGCTCAGATGGGCAGGGGAAGGTCCAAGGTGAACAGGGAGTGAGACAGAGTGGCAGGACCCAGCACAGAGATGGATGGAGGGGTGGAAGCCAGCATCAGAGATGACAGGGACGTGGCAAGAAAAGGTAAGACCAAGATGGGAGCCGAGGACCAAAGATAAAAGCAGAAATGACCCAGAGTGAGCCATGGGGACAGGAAATGAGAACAAAATGCCAATGCAGGGAAGTGTAGAGAGAGACACCCCAAAAGGCAGTGAGGGATCACAGCCAGAGATGGAGGGAGGAGGCCCAGGTGGCAGAGAAGACAGATGGATAGGATGGTACCCAGAAAAACACAGGCCAAAGACAGACATAAAGATGGCAGTGAAACAGGAGAAGGCGTGGATGGGGAAGACAAGGGAGGACAGATAGGCATCAGGGAAGGCAGGTCCCCAGCCAGGACTCCTTCCAGGTGTTCCAGGAAAGTGGGGAGGGACCCACTGACATCACTTTCCTGCTTAACAGGTGAGGCCCTCGCTTCTTCCAGGTTCTTTGAGTCCTAGGTTCTGGAAGAGCCAGTCCTGTTTGACCCATCCACTTCCCTGTCCCTCACAGACAATTAGTCTCATACCTCCTTTGGGAGGGGGCAGGAAACCCTCAGTTCTGACTCCTTCCCCACGTTCTGAACCCTAGGCCCCCTGTGAGTCCCCTTCCTGGACCCTCACATCCTTTTCCTGTTCTCAGAGGGGAGGGAGAGGACTGGCATCTCTGAGTAGAAGGCAGTCCAGGAGGAGATATCCAGAAGGGCCGAGGCAAGTGGCTGGGGACAGGGGATGTGGGACTGGGTGGGGAGTAGGGAGGAAGAGGTTTGCAGCCCAGCCGTTTGTCAAAAGAAAATGATTCTTGGGGCTGGCTCTCTGGGGGCCTCTTGAAGCACTTGGCCCACTCTGTCCCATGGTTGCCCCAATGAGTTGTTTACATGTCTAGACTGAGTGCTCCTGAGGGCAGGGTCTCCGTCTTTGCATCCTGGGTGCCGACCGTGGCACCCAGCACGCAGCAGCCACTTAATAGATGAGAATGGAGTTGGAATTCTGGTGGTGGGCTGTGCTTTCAACTCCTCCTCCCTGCTGTCTAGCTTTAGGAACCCCTCCCCCCCCACACACCCTCCTACTAGATCCTGATTTCCTCCAATTCCCCAGGCCTAACCTGGAGGCTAGCCACGGGAAGGGAGAAGAGGGTGGAAAGGAAGGGCACAGTAACAGGCAGCAGTCCCTGGGCCTGGTGTGAAATGAGAGGAAAGATCCGGAAGTGCAGATAGGTAGGTGGGCTAGGAAATAGCACACAGCGTATACAAACAAGATTAGGGTACGGGGTACCTTTGTGGGAGCCTTGTCCTTGGGGTGTGTACATATGTGCACCTTTGTGTGTCCACCTGAGTGTATCCCACTGAGCGCACATCTGAAAGGGTCTCTACCTGCAGGTCTGCCCCGTCCCATGTGCTTCTGCTCAAGTGCAGTGTGTATATATGCGTGTGCACGAGTGTGCCTAGGGGGAGGGGGGGGGAGGGGAGCAGTGCTACTGGTACCTTCCTCAGTCTC